TAGATGATATGGAATATGGGAATTGGACCAATATTGCATTAATTTAAATGTTGGAAGTGTCTGAATTGTATGTATATCACTTCTTCGAAATCCTATCTCATCCTAGGTTCTGATTGCATCTTTATGTGATATACTTGTCAAGATAAATAATATTATCTGAAAATTGATGGTAATAAACTTTCCACATCTTTGTAATTGCATTCGTCATGTTTTAACTGCCAAATGAGCTATAGCAAATTGATAAAATATGAATATGAATTGCAGTATCTCCCTTAAATAAACTAAGAATGACAACTTAACCTATTTTAAGCATTGAAAATATACTGTATCATGACAAAAGGCTTATTTTTCATATTAAAAATAACCTTTTGATTGTAACTCAAAATCCCAAATTAACCTTGTTGGATTTAGTTTTATTGTTTGGCACACTTTCAAGCCTTTTTACGAACAAAATACAGCTTACCCAACACATGAAGAATAGCAACAAAAGCTATGAAACTGATACTCATGAGGAGCACAACTTTTGGAAAGATTTTAAGCCATGGATCATCATTTGTGTAAAATTGGAGCATGGTCCCAATTGCCCTTTCAAGGTTACACCATTTGTCGTTCTCCTTTTATGGGGGCTTGCAGCAGCTGTTGCACTTCCTCTTGGGGGAGTTGTTCCACTAGCCATTTTTGTAGCAAACAACACTTGTGATTACCTTGATAAGATATTCCTTTCATTCTTGTTTACGACATCTGGTTCTTTCGGGGTTATAGTTGATGGTTGTTTAGCAATTCCATCTCTACTACATAACTAGACATAAGAGTTTCTTCTCATCCAACTCCTCATGAAAAACATGACTAAAAAAAAAATTTTATTCTTAAAATATACAAGAAGTTAATGACTAATAGATTGAATCATGGAATTCTTTTCTTTGAGATTTTATTTGATCTGTTAGAATTTTGTATATCTTGTTTGGATATATATTGGATATATACAAGTGATTAAACATGGATTCTATTTATAGATAATATCTAATCTTATTTTTGTTATAATATTCTAACGAATCTTTATTTTGTTTTATCTTTTTTTATCATAT